TCTGCTTCTCAAGACTCTTTGGATATTTTACTCCGTCAGCTCTTAGCTTGCTAGTGAAAACTAAACCGATCGATCAATCTTTTTACAATTTTAAAAGTAAACTCCATATCAATCCTTTTATAGGTTCAAAATACAACCTACACCGATCTTTTTTATTGGTACAAGATCAAACCACTACGACTATTTTCACTGGTCCGAGATCAACTCACTTTAACAATCCAGAATGATATAAAACAAGCTAACAAAGAAAATACCTAAGGTACATTTACACAAACTTCGTACTAAAGCCATTGCTAAAGAACCACATTCTAATATATATCTCAAAAAAAAAAATGACAACTTTTTGTGTATGGGAATGAAAACTTTGAGAGCAAAAAATTGAAAAAGAAAAATATTGTTAATTTTGTTTGGATAATTGGTGTGAAAGAACATGAATTTTGGAGGATAAGGAAAATAATTACAGAAAATTTATGGAGACTTAGAGAGATCGGTAGAGATTGAGAAAATTTGTAAATTGGGAGAAATTTGTGGAAATTAAGGGAAATTGACGGAAAATTCAGAAATTATTAATTCAAAATTTATTTTAATGTGTCACATGACTCGTCCACGTCATCCACCACATCATCAAAAGCATTGATGTCATGTTATGTGAGGGCAGTATTGTAATTTTTCAGTGAAAAAAAAAGAAAAAAAAATAATAATTAAGATATCTTAGTTAGAAGGGTAGTTTGGTCTTTTGACAAGAAAACAAAACATGGGACACGTGTGGTGTGTGTGTGTTGTGACGTGTTAAAAAAAAAGAAAAAGAATAGGAAAGGGAAAGGGGAGAAAACGAAGGAGGAAAAACAAAGAGAATGGAAAAGAAAGAGGGCAAGGAGAAAGAGAAGAAAGCAGAGGGGAAAGGAGAAGAAATTGAAGGTAAGGTTTGTATTTATGGGTTTTGTGAAAAATGTCATGAGAAGTTTGAGTTCTATGGATATTCAATGAACGGAAAACTCCTGTTGTTCTTGGATGAGAAGGAATGGTAAAATCGAACTTGGTTGAATTTTATGGTGGAAATATTATGAGGGAACGTTGGTATTGTGATGGGTTTTTTTTTTTTGGTAAAGAAGGGTTCCATGGGAGAAAGAAAGGCAAAAGAAAGGTAAAAGAAAGACAAAAGAAGTGCAGATTTAAGGTGGGTATGGAATCTGTAGAAGAAGGGAAGAGACAGAGAGGAGTGTGGGGGTTGGTGTTGAAGAGAGAGAAAGAAATCAAGGAGAGAGGTAATTGATAAATTAAGGTAAAAAACAAAAAAAGGAATGGGTATATGTGCGTGAGATGGAGTGTGAGAAAGAGAAATTGATTGGGTTTGGTGGGACCCACTCGTAAAAAGGAAAAGTGGGGAGTTTTAATGAAGAGAGAGAGAGTGAGGAAATTGGGTAATAAGATATTTTGAAGTTATTATGATTGAAGTTTGAATTAAGTTATGTTGAAATTGGAATTAAGTGAGTTAAATTGGTTTTGAATCGATATTTCAGGTCATACAGGAATTGGAGCAGCGTACCAACCAAATTCACCTCGTTCATAGGATTTGTGAGTGGTTATTTTACTAAATATTTCCAGATATCTATTATAGAACCTCAA